AGGGCCTTGGGAAGTGTGGGGTGTTGGGCTAGGGAGGGGTGTTGGTCTAGAGAACCGGGGGTGGGTCTCTGTGTCAAGGCTGGGTGGCAGAGCCCTGGATGAGCAGCTCTGGGCACCGTAAGGCAGAAGGGGCAGGCTTGCTTCTGGCTGCAGACAGAAGAGGGGGACAGAGAAGTGGGTGGAGAGGCAGGAGGGAAACTGGGGAGGCCGAGGTCACTGGGGGTTGATGGTGGAGGATGGAGGACCGAACCCACCACTCCCCTGGTGACTACAGGGGAGCTGGCCCTTCTGAGAGCTGGAAACTGGCGGAGGTAGAAGAGACAGCAGCAAATCTGACCCCTGATCAGGGAGAGGCAGGGAGGCCTCAGGGGCGTGGGTCCAGGAAGTGAACAGTAGTGTACACACGCGTGAACATGAAAACACAGGTTGCCAATGCGTGCACACACTCTCCCATACAAAGTAAGCCCCAGACACACGCAAAAACAGACATACAGAACACAGGTCCCCACAACACTCTTGGGTACACAGCTTCGCAGTCAAATATCCCCATGTATACATGCACATGCACATACCCGTGCTGAGAGGGAGCCAGGCCCACGGTTGACATTCACATGTCAGCAAAGCACATAAGCCACAGCCAGCCAGATCTCCAACAGAAAGTCAAGAACACAGCCTCCCCGGGACACACTGTCACTTCTACACATGTGTAGATTCACACACACACACACACACACACACACACACACACACACACACACACAAACACACACGTGTGCTTTCCTGCCTAAACAGACATCTGTAGAGATGTTCCCAGAGGCCTGCACTCACTGCAAGTACAATGCTGTCCACGCACACCCACACAGCATGTACACTCATGGTGCACACAGACACCCGTGCAGCAGACACCCAGGCTACACAGATACCCACACAGCACACAGACAGTCACACAGCAGCCACATCCACATGGCACCGTGATCAACTCCTGGGGAAAGAAACTCTGGACACCCCCATAAGAGGCAACCTGGCTCTGGAACTCTGGCACCAGGGCCTGCCTGGGAAAGTGAGACACAAACCACGGCCATTGCCCAACACTGCCCAGGGTCAGAGAGAAGCCAGGGCCAGGCCGCGCGTGCCTGCCCACGTATCTGTTGCCACCGACAGCAGACACCCAGCCACCGACGGAGACAGCTGGGATTGCAAGGGATATTGCAAAATCTTCCCTATCCCTCAGGGTTCAGCTAAAGTGTCTCTTGCCCCAGGGAGCTCCTCTAGGCTCTTGTGGGCATTCTTAACCTTCTTTTGGAATTCTGATTCTGCTGTGCCCAGCTGTGTGACCTTGGGCAAGTCACTTCACCTCTCTGTGCTTTATTTCCACCTGTGTACAATAGAGATAACAAAAGCAAGCATTGAATATATAGTCATGTGCTGTGTAAAGACACCCTAGTCAATGACAAACTTCATGTACACAGTGGACCCATAAGATTAAAATAGAGCTGAAAAACTCCTATCACCTAGTGACATCTTGACGATCCTGACCCTGTGTCGGCCTAGGCTAATGTGTGTTTGTGTTTTCGTTTTTAACAAAGGTAAAAAACAAAAATTAAATTTTTAAATAGAGGAAAGCTTATAGTATAAGGACAAAAAGAAAATATTTTTGGTCAGCTGTACATTGTGTTTGTGTTCTAAGCTAAGTGCTATTATAATAGTAAAAAGTTTTTTAAAAAATTTAGGCCAGTGGGGTGGCTCACGCCTGTAATCCCAGCACTTTGGGAAGCCGAGGTGAGAGGATTGCTTGATCCCAGGAATTCAAGACCAGCCTGAGCACATAGTGAGACCTCATCACTACAAAAAAAATATTAAAAAAAAATAGCTGAGTGCTATGGTACGCACCTGTAGTTCCAGCTACTCAGGAGGCTGAAGCAGGAGAATTATCTGAGTCCCGGAGGTCGAGGCTGCGGTGAGCTGCGATCGTGCCACTGCACTCCAGCCTGGGAGTCAGAGTGAGATCCCAACTCAATAAGTAATTAATTAATGAATGTTTATAAAACGAAAAAGATACAGTAAGCTAAGGTCAATTTGTTATTGAACAAAGACACATATTTTGTGTAAATTTAGTGTAGCCTAAGTGTTGAGTGTTGATAAAGTGTCTAGTAGTGTCCAGTAATGTCCTAGGCCTTCACCCTCACTCCCCCTCCCTCAGTGACACCCAGAGCAGCTTCCAGTCCTGCAAGCGCCATTCATGGGAAGCGCCCTAGACAGGTGGACCATCTTTTATCTCTTCTACCATATTTTTACTGTACCTTTTCCATTTTTAGATACACAAAGCCTTCCCATTGTGTTACAGTTGCCTAGAGTATTCAGTATAGTCATGTGCCGTGCAGGTTTGTAGCCTAGGAACCAGGGGCTACACCCCATGGTCTAGGTGTGTAGTAGGCGAGACCATCTAGGTTCCTGTCCATGCACTTTATGATGGTCATATGACCACAAAAACCACCTAACGACACCTTTGTCAGAACACAGTCCCATCACGAAGTGACGTGTGATTGTATAGATAGGAATTAACAGAGCACAGTCCCTGCCCTCCTGTACAGACGGCGACCCCAGGCGAATGAGGATGCAGCTGCCCTGTGCCCACTGCCCTTCCCCTGCCTCCTGCTCAGGCGCTTTCCACCGGGCAGGATCCTGGGTCCAAGAGGAACATCAGGAGGCTGTGCAATGTCTTCTCTTGCCTCTACAGAGGACCAAGGAGCCAGCTGTGGAGTAACTTGGCAAGCAGGGGACCAGGCGGCCCCACCTGGCAAGGATGGAGATGAGGTCTTTAAACCCTGAATGTAGCTGGGCACATTAGCTCACATCCAGAACTTGGGGAGGCTGAGGCAGGAGGATTGCTTGAGCCCAGGAGTTCGACACCAGCCTGGGCAATATAGCGAGAGCTTGGCTCTACAAAAAAAAATTAAAAACAAATAAACTCTGAATGTCTGCTCCATCATCTTGGAGAGGACTTAGGAGGTCATTTTCTCTACATGAATACGAGGGTCAGAAAAGTGGGATGTGGGCCGCTAACTCTGCCTGGCTGTCTCCTCACCTCCCATCCCCACCCACCTAGGCCCACGTCTTCCCAGCAGATGCTGGGCATCAGGCTGGTGGCCAGAGTGCTGAGAGCCTCTTCTCCCATTGAGGGGCTGTGGGCAGGGCCCCTCCCTGGATAGCAAGCTGCCATTTTCATGAAGATAAGCACTTAGGCTCCTGTGGAAAAGTGCCCCAGGGCTCCCAGGATGGGGAGGTCAAGCTGGTGAGCTGTGACCCACACTGAGCTCAGCCCCAAACTCAGGCTGACCAGACCAGCTTCCTTTGTCCTAGGACTCTTCAGGGGCCTGGGTCGGACGGGGAGATGGTTTTGTGAGTCCACACCTCACTCTGGGAGAGCTCAAAGCCTGTCTGTCTGACCGGACCCAGGGCATCAGCCTCATGTGAGCTCTAAGGTCGCACCCCGGAAGATGTCCCCACTTCCCCTCAGCTGTATGTCCCCAGGGCACCTCCCAAGCCCTGTGCCCTTGGTCCCAGGTGGGTCTCAGTCTCCCCAGCTCTCCCAAGCAGATCTCCCTACTTGTAATCTGCTGGAGGCTGAGGACTGGACCAGTGACCCCCAAGGACTCCAGCACCTAGGAGCTAAAAACTGTCCACATAGACACTTGGCTATGTAGCAGGCACACATGGGCATGCTGACCCCCAGGCCTGGGTCTGAGTCAGACCAGCCCACTGGGGTATGTATGTGTCCCCTCACAAAGGCTGGTCCCCTGGGCAGCTCCAAGATCCAGGACCTGGTATGAGGGATCCGGGGGGAGGCTTGAAGCCCTTGGAGAGCCAGGGTGACAAAAATGCTAAGCCAAACAGAGACAGGTGGTCAGGCCCCTGGAGCAGGACACAGGGCCAGGAGCTCTCTAGCTGCAGGTTAAGTAGTCCTAAGAACTCTGATCCTGAAGCCTCTCCCCGCCCCCCAGAACATTCCCTAAGCCAGGGCCCACACCAGGCCCTCCAAGAGGAACTGGGACTCCCCCCACCCCAACAAAAAACAAAATCCAAGGAAATGTTCCCCTACTGGTGTTTCTAACGCAGTTACCTCCTAAATCTCCATGCACATGGGGAAACTGAGGCTGAAGGGAAGGGGCTGGCCTGGACTCCCTGCTGCTCACTCACCAAGCCAGGGCTGCACTCTTGGTTCCTCTGATCTGCAGTCCGAGACCCCAGACCCCTGGTTCCCAGGGACAGGGTGGGCCCACTGCCAGATGCCTGATCCCTGTTATGGCTTTTCTGAGGAGTCACCACAACCTCTGAGTACATAGAAGTCACACCCTTCTTCCCTTCCTGAGCGTGGGTGGGTCTGGGCTGAGTGCACCTGATAACCTCTGTGGTACATCAGTGAGGCCCCTTTAGGCCAGAGCAGAATCCTAAACTCGGTGAGCACAGAGCAGGCTCCTATAGGTCCCTGTCCTGTCTTCCTGGTCCTGCACCTCAACAGGGAGAAGCCCTGTATACAGGGACCCCTCCTATGACTCCAGGAGAGCCCTGGTAGCAGTAATTGACTAATCTCCTCATCAACAGAGGGCCAGCCAGAACTCAGGCAAGGCCCAAAAGAAAGCAGGCAGCAGTCTGGAGGAAAAGTGTTTTTGGGCCCTTCTTGGTGGGTTTCAGGCCAGTCACACCATGGTGGCAGAGAAGGCCAGGGGCACCCCCAGGCAGGAGGGCCTGAGAGTCCCTGCCCATGTTCAGAAACTTCTGGGCTACTCTGGAAACAGCAAGACGTGAAAGCCTAGACTTCAAAGGCAGGCAGCCTGAGATGGGCATCAGGTGACCTTGGCTAAGTCATGTCACCTCTCAAAGCTTCACTTCCTCATCTGGAAACTGAAGTGGATGGAGTTGAGGTGAGTTGTGCTAGCCCCTGGGCAGGTACACAGCTGAGGCTCAGACCCAGGTGACCCCCAAGGACCACAGCCCAGCCAGTCACTAGAAAGTCCTTTATTAACAAGTCAATAAAAAAAGGAGAGAGACAGATGTAAAAATACTTTTCTTGGAGGCCCCAGCAGGGAGAGGCACTGTCAGGACTCACCTAGCCAGGGAGCAGCTGGTCCAGGGAGGCTGGAGGGGGGACGGCTCGGGCCTCAGGCAGGGACTGTGCAAATGCTGAGGCCGCACAGGGAGTGATGGGTTGGGGACTTCAGCCCCGAGCACCGTGTGCCCATGTGGGCAGACATGCGGTCGGGCTAGCACCTGCCCACTCCTCCTGTGGGTACACACACGTGTCCTTGGGAGAGACGGTGCCTGCACGCAGCTTACATAGAGAATGGAACGAGGGGTCTCCTGTCAGGAACAGGGGGCTCATTCCAGAGCTTGAGGAAATAGCTTAGACAAGTCTTTGGAAGCCCAGGGATGAGGGAGAGCAGGGAGGCTACTCTGATCTCCATGGGCCTCAGGAGGCCAGGGCTTCCTGCCGTCGCTGGAGAACCTCGATGACGCTGCTGATGCCATCCTCGGGCACCTGCCGGCAGGTGAGTAGGGGGTAAGGGTCAGGGCTGAAGGTGGCCAGAGCCACTCGGACTTCCTGGATCAGCTGAGATGACCTGCGGCCTCCCCTCATTTCTGGGCCTCGGTCCCCCTCCGGCCAGCCCTGGCACTCACCAGAGCATGGTCGAAGTTGAACGTGCTGATGTAGTAGGCAGAGATGTCGGCGGCGGCCAGGGGACCTGCGATCTGGGCCACAATCCCACATTCATCTGAGGGGGGAGGGGGTACATGTGGCTCACCCTGATGGCTCCACAGGCCCTCCCAACCCCCCGACACAGGGAGCAGCCCTCACCAAAGCCCAGGGGCTGTCCACCAATGCGCACCATCCTCCACAGCTCCCCCGAGGAGCTGGTCAGCAGGAGGTCACTGGGGAACCTGGGGAGGCAAGGGGGTGGTGGGCAGGACACCCATTCTCCTCCGCTGTCTCTACCCTACCCCCCCCGCCTGCTGACCTCAGAGTCCGTTGCCCTATCCCACCTCCTCCCTTCCTGGGGCTGCTGCTGAGGGCGTAACAGGGTCACATACTTTTTCTGTGTCTCAGCGTCCATGACAATGGAGATATATCCCTCAATGAGAGAGAAGGCAAAGAATGGGATGGAGCTGGAGTCAGCACCACCAGAAGCTGCCTCCTTGGGAGCACTGGGGAGGAACGGGAGACTCAGGGACTCTGCCAGGCACCCAGCCCACCGCACTCCTCCCAGTAAGCCTCCAGACCCCAGGGAGAGGGCTGGCATGGGCGGCCTAGGCAGGCCTTCCCAGCTCTGCTCCCCGTCCGAGCACCCGGCTCTCCAGGTGTGGGTGGGGATGGGGAGAATGATGAACCTGGCCTGTGCCAAAGATTGAGGCATGCCGGGGGGAGAGGGCTGGGCCAGGGCACAGCTCAGGGGCAGCTCTAATGACACCACAGGAGAGGGCTCCAGCTTGGGGTTGGGACCATCCCTGGACATCAGTCAAGGGCAAGTGAGCATCACTGGCTGCCAGGAACCCCGAGACGGGACAAGGCACAGAGAGGCAAAACCGACCAATGGGAGGAAGGTGGGGGGACAGAGCATAGGAACAACAGCGTGGGGACAGAGATGAAATGCAAACAAGGCCCACTTGTGTGAGTAGAAGAGGACATCGATGAGGGTGGTAGCAATGGCTGGCAGCGTCTCAGGGTCCAGTGTGAGGACGCAGAAGCGGTTCCGAGGGCTCTGGATGGGATGCACTGTGGGGCTGGGCCCTGCTCAGGGAGGACAGGGCAGCTGGTAAGAGGGCAGCTGTAGGCTGGGCCGCCCCCTGGTGGCCAATCAGGAGGGGCCAGGGCCAGGTGTGGGCCTGCTCTCCAGGAACCAGCCTGAGTCCTTGGGGCACTATCTCTTTTTGGGGCAGTGCCAGCTGGTGCCCCCATGCACACAGACCCACCTGTACAAGGGAAGGGCCCCAGGGCGAAGGGAGGTCTTGGCTAAGTTGGGGGTGTCAGGGGGCAGCCCTCACCATGCTGGGCACGGGGAAAGCCGTTGCTGGAATCATCCCTGGCCACAGGCACAGGCTCCCCGCCCACCTCGCGGTAAATGTCGAACTCCTGGGCCAGCGTGTGAATAACCACGGTGAGGTCCTGCTCCCGCACCTGGGCCACAGGCAGACGGCATATCATGCGGGTCCCCAGGCACCTATGCACACCCCACCTCTCATGAGTGGAAAACTCACCAAGATGAAATCTGTCTGGTAAGTGGACAGCATCAACACAGACACGTGGTGCTCGGCCAGCGGCGCAATGACTGAGCGGGCAATCTTGGTGACCCCAGCAGCCTGCACTGCTGCACCACTGTGAGACGACACATTCAGCACCAGCCACGTAGCCTCGGCCACTTGCAGGAACTCAGATGGGGGCAGCTCTGTGGGCAGGGGGCACATGTCCGGTCAGGGCCTGCAGGCTGTCCTCTGCCCCTCTCTGAGCCTCAGTTTCCTTGCCTTGGAGGGCTCTATCAAGGTAAGGACAGGTCTGGAGACTGGGGCTATCTTCCCCTGGCTCTGCTCCTGCAGTACCTATGTATTCAAGGACTGAGAAGTGCTCCAGGAGCTAGCCTGCTGGGGACTGAAACTTCCCACTTAAGATCAGAGTTCCAGATTGAGACAGACCTGGATTCAAATCCCAGCTTTGCTGTGTAACCTGGGGCAATGATTTCTGTTTCCTCATCTGTAAAATGGGAAGACAGTATCTACTGATGATGTGTTCTGTGGGTTGGCAGAAGCTTTACTCCACATGGAAACACCAGAGGGCACCAGCAGATCAGGCTGGCTGGGGGGATTCCCTTCCCCATTTGCAGACTGACTTCCTTGCAGTACAAACAGGGAAACGAAGGCCAGAAGTGGGGAGTGAGGAATGGGTGAACCTCCAGTTGGCTGGTTGGAGACTCCAGGCCTGTGAGAATAGGCCAGGCCAGCAAGAATAAAAGCCAGATATTAGCTCCAGGGCCCAGGGAGGGACCAGGCTGGCGTCCAGTCCTGAGCAGGGGCCAGGGCCAGGGCCAGGGTGGCTGCTGTTCACCCAAGCACAGCCAGGAGGCCTCTAGGACCCTACCCAGGAATGGCTGCCTGCGCCTGCATTCCTTACCCAACCCTCCCGGAGTTCCCAGACCAGCAGGAGAGGAGGTGGCCCAAACCAGGAGGAAATAATGCCCCAGGGTGGTAACAGCCATGGTAATTCCTGCTTCTTGTTGGGTACCATGACTGAGGTCTCCCTGCCGGCCTAAGAATGCTAAGTGCCCCTCACACACAGTCCTTCATGGGTTTTAAGTTTATAAAGCCCTGTGGGATCCTATTACATCAGAACCATAATACCCACTTTACGTAAGAGGAAACAGCTCAGAGAGGGTAACTGATTTGCTCAAGGGCACACAGTGAGTGAGTGGTGGGGTAGGATTTGAACCCTGACCCGTCTGCTTTTAAGGCTCAAGCTCTTGGGACTGCCACCAGCATCTGGTGAGAATCCTGAAGGGGGAGCACAGGCCCCTCCCAAGCTCCCCCTCCCCAGACCAGCCCCCACCTTTAAAGCCCTCCTCGTCCACCATGAGCGTGTAATCCTCAGGGGTCTCCGTCAGGCTGAAGAACTTGCACCTGGTTGAGGGTGGGGAGCATCTTCAGCTTGGGGTGGAGAACTGGGTAGGGGGGTGGACTTCCCCTCCATCTGCCCCAGGAGATCGACTAGTCCCACCGGGTGCCTTCCTGCTCCTCAGGCCTCAATTTCCTCCCCAGGGCAATGGGGTGTGGGCCCCAATTCCTGGATCACGAGCTACTTTCTGCCTCCCGACCTCCCCAGGAGCCCTCCGCCCTTCCATTCCTAGAGGGAAGAGACTCGCATTCGCAGCGACAGCCCAAGAGGCGTCGGGCCTTGGGCCCCCTAGTCTAGCCCCTCTGACCTGAAGGGCGGCGTCTTGGAAGTAGCCCCCCGCAGCGGCTAGGTAGGAAAGCACCCTTTTGGCACCACTCAGAGTAAAGCATTGCCCATCCCAGGCTGTTTGCGCTTGGGCCTGGGAGGGGGCCTCACGGGGCCGGATAGGCGGCGGTCCCAGGGAGGGTAGGCCCAGGCCGGATGGCGGCCGGAGGCAGAGAGCCCTCCCCGCCCGCTCCCGCCCGCCTCACGGCAATCCTAATCCTCCGACCCTGGCCCTGAGCGGCAGCAGAGTCGCCAACCCCCATCTGCGCCCCCGAACCCACGCGCGCACCGGCTGCGGCAGGGCAGGAAGAGCAGCTTGATGAGTGGGTGGGTGTACAGCCAGAGACCGGAGCGGGCGAGGCTCAGCACCCTCACCCGGTGCTCTAGGATGTGCAGCTCCATCGCGGCTCCCGCGGCCCGGACCCTGCCGCCTGCTAG